AGCACACCTCGCTTTTCAGAACAATGAGCTTTGTAAAAATTGACGCGTTTCAGAAAGGCGGGGCATAGAGGAGAAACAATAATGTACAGTATGTGGAAAATAATGTTTTTTTTTAACCTTAAACCGCATAAACACATTTCATTACACCAAATACACAAAATAATGTTCTTTTTAGCAACATCATATGACCCCTTTAAAACATACGTGCACAATTCAGTTTAATGATAAAGTTTACCCTCTTTAACTTTTGGTAATGGAGTGTTTCACTAGTTAGCAATAAACCTGAATATGCTCTCCTGAATATGTTCGTAGATTTGTGTTGGATGTCTTCAACGCGGAAAGCAGTTATCTTCGGAACAGAAAAAGAGATATTTTAACAAAAAAATGAATAACGAAAAAACTCAATGCCGTGCTTCAGATAAAGGTGATCCACAGGACGCAGCCGTTTTAGCGGCTCAGTGTTCTACTTTTAAGCAGGCCATTTACATCCAAATGTTACAGAACACAACCTATAAATAGATTTTAGAATATAAACTATTTATCGTCTATTTTCAGTAAGACTAAATAGAAAGTGTGCGCCTGCCATTATCGCGTTATCTTGAATCAAGCCCAACAAATGTGTTTTAAAAACAGTGGATGAGTAATTCACTCTTTGATTTGCTTAACTTCAGCCTCCTTTGAGATAGTTTTGACAGACATGTTTATTGTGCCTTATTTTCAATGTGTTTATTGCTAAGTTTAGTGTAGCAAAATAGAAGCGCAGACGTAATTCACGTGCAATGTACCTGGTTGCCATGACAACCTCCCGCCACTCTCTCGTGAGTTAGCGGAAGCTAGAAATTATGGTTTATAGTTTTAAATATGGATATTATTCTTAAACAAATGCATTGATTAGCTTCAGAAGGCCTTTATTAACCCTCCGGAGCCGTGTGGAGCACTTTTTATGATGGATGGATGCACTTTATTGGACTTCAAAATCTCAACACCCATTCACTGCCATTATAAAGCTTAGAAGACCCAGGACATTTTTTAATATAACTCCGATCGTATTCGTCGGAAAGAAGAAAGTCATATACGCTGGCTTGAGGGTGAGTAAAGGCGCTTTCGCACCAGAGGAACCTTTTCATAATTCCGAGAACTATTGGTGGAAGCTCACGCTTTTTGGCATGTTCGCACCGCAGGAACTAGGAACGTATTTAGTTCTACATTTGGCGGAACTAATTTAGCACCTACTTCAGAGTAGGCTCTAAATTAGTTCTATAGGAACTACCAGTGACGTAAGTGTACGCTGATTGGCCAGACGCATACGAAACACCGGCTACCCGGCATTTTTAAAAAGCCAGGTAAACATATTTACTCCACGAACATGGAAGACAGCCATAACGGCATTTCTGCTGTCTGCAGTGTTGTGTTCTTTTCTCAGCCTTGATGATAACACTGCAAGTTGTCATAGGAGATTTAGTCAGATTTTCATGCTCTTTCAATCATGTAAATTGTGCGTTTACATTCCATCTCTGTTATCATGAAACCCGTGACACACAACAAAAACAGCTGCGATCGCGGTGTCCTCCATTCACATGTTATTGATGTTTGTAAACGCCACACCGCGAATAAAGACGTCGCTGTCGGCCGCTTCAGAGTTCCCGCTGCCGGTGCGAATGCAACCAGTAAAACTGCCCGACTGGTTCTCTAGGAACGACCCTGCTGGCTAGTTCCTAGAACTAAATTCCTAGAACTACGTGGTGCAAAAGCACCTTAAATCATTTTCATTTTTGGGTGAACTATCCCTTTAAGAAAACAGTCCTGCGCAGGGCTCTAATGATTTCTGAAGGATCATCATGAAGTAATGGGTGCTGGAAATTAGGGCTGTGCAATATATCGAAATTATCGAAATATCGCAAATGTACATATCGCAATATGCATATCGCTACAGCTTGCAATATTTGGGGCCATGAACAAAAGACAAAGAGAAAATCACTCACTGCTCTTACCTAAATAACTTTTGTAGCTTAAATAAGAATCAGTGCATATTGAATTCAAAGAGTAAATACTACGCAGTGTTTTATTTTTCCTTTTTATTATTCAGTTCATAAACTCATGTTAAAATGATTACACTAATGTTAAAATGACATTTTTATAGAATGAGCTTTATTCACTACTTAAGTGTGCGCAAACACAAGGAATTTGTTGTGGTTTTACAGAAACTCTTGGTACATACATACATGCATACAAATAACCATATATATATGACACAAGATAGTTATTGACTCAGCAACAGCTGAGTAAAACTGATTCATCTGAGCATGTGGCACTTTAAGCATTATCGTATCGCATATTGAATATCGCATTATTTAATGAGTTATCGCATATCGCACAGCCCTACTGGAAATTCAGCTTTGCCCTTACAGGAATAAATTACATTTTAAAATATATTAAAATAGAGAACACATAGGATTGTAATATTATTTCTCAATATTACTGTTTATACTGTGTTTAATAAATGCAGCTTTGGTTAAATTTCTTGCAAAAACATTTAAAAATCTTAGTTATTTCAAACTTTTGACCAGTACTGTATATGTGAAATAACATAATTAATTAATAAAAGTTATTTATAGCAACTTGTAATAATAGTGAAGTGTCATCCTACACAGTCCGCGCCTTAGTAACATCCTCTGAAAAGGGAAAACATCATCTGATAAGGTAAAAGAGCGTGACGCACCTGTCACTCGCCCAGTGAGAAACCAGACCATCATCCTGAGTCCAGATCAGCCGAGACCAGCATCCTCCGCCGCGCATCAATCCGCAGCATCATGCGAAGCTGGTCCAGGAACAGCTGCTCGCCGTCTCACGCTCTCGCCGCGCGGCGTCGTTGTTCTGCACGCTGCAATCACGAAACGGGGAAAGACGGAGCGGCACCATTTCATCGGTACGGTCTGTTTATTACTGGATGTGACAAATTAAACAACCGATCGGAGCTCATTTTTGGCCGGTTGCACGGCTGATCTCGGCGGTAAAGCTGGAAGGAGGCGGCGGAGCGCAGATATGCACGCAGCAGGACGCATGTTACGTCGCTCACATGAGATGTGATGAAATGATGATGAAGATGATGATGGCCCAGGGGGAGAAAGACCCGAAACACACCGGCCAAGTTGTGCTGGTCAAGAAGATCATAATGAAGCATGACAATCCGGTAAGAATAACACAGATATAACGTGTCACTGTGACTCATTCATTCATTGGAGCGCCTGTTTTTGTTGATATCAGCGTTACGGTAACACATTCCGTAAAACATTTAAGCATTTAAAATAATAAAATGTGTATTTACATGGCTTATTGATTTATAATACGCATGTATTTAAATATTAATGTCTTATTAATTGTACATAGATACGTGCGCACAGCCCCTCATCGGCTACCTGACAAATCATAACATTGTCTTATTAATTGCACATACGTGCGCACAGCCCCTCATCGGCTACCTGACAAATCATACCATTTTGGATTTTTTTTAACTCCGACTGAATTGTTGTTTTATCATGTTATGCATCGCATAATAATCTTTAGGCTCTTTATAACAATTGTAGTGGTGTATCGAGACGTGTCGTGTGCGATATCGATCGATGAGGCGATGCTAATGCTAACGGCTACATTGGCCGATTGAAGCGCCGCTGTCGGTTGTTACGTAACTGACGCACGCGCGCGAGGTCTGTTGTCATGGGGACGCCGAAATCTTCGTTCATTTATTCATTAGTACTTAGTGTCTGTGATGTCATTTGCGCATCCTGTTGAGTAAATTCTTCCAATAAGACATTTAGTATATTCATTAATAAGACAAATATTAATTTACTAATTTGATGTTTTGCTCAGCTATATATTGTGTATGTGCTGTATTTTATATAAAATATTTTATGAAAAAAATATATAATTGTTTATAATTTTATATAATTTTTTTTGTTTATAAATATATATGTATTATATACGTGTGTCTGTTTTATATATAAAAATGTATATTAAAATATATGTGTATATGCACAAAGTTATTTATGTATAATAACTATAACTATTTAACTTTAAATACACATATATGCATGCATTTATAGTAAAATATAAAATATTAATGTCTCTGTTTCCTGCTTTATGTATGGGATGAAATGCCATTATTAACATAGTTTGTCATTCATAAGCACATGCATATTAAGCACCACAGTGAATTCTTTAATCTGTGAAGGTCTGTCAGCAGTGGACTGAGAGTTTGGCACGGCTGAATGTCTTTGGTCTTGTGTGTGTCTAAACGTCCCGGAGGAATAGCAATGAGACGAGTCCCATTGAAAGCGGAGGAGTCTGGAAATGTGCCACATTCCCGATTATAATTAGCATTATTAATAAAGAGCTGTGTATGTGTGTGATGTTCCAGGTCCGGCAGGGCATCGGGAAGCCGAGCGTCTATCATGCTGTTGTGGTCATCTTTCTGGAGTTTTTCGCCTGGGGTCTCCTGACCACACCGATGCTCATGGTGAGCTGCTTTCATTCTCTTTCATGTTTATCAGGATAAAAGCTTCTATTGCAGGTGCTATTAGTTGTTTTTGCCAAAATTCACACCAGATGATGTCAGTATAAGGTTGAAGACCACCGTCTAATCTAGGCTTTTTTCTGGAACATCTTACAAAGAATTAAACCT